GTCGACTTTTTACTTGAGTTAGAGTTCTGAAGAACTCACTTTTTAAAAAGACTAAACTATTCAAACTATCTCCAAAAAACAGCAAGAGCAGAGTCAGGAATGCATAGATAGTTTAGTTAAAATCACATGCAACAGATTTCCAGATCTGTACCTCCAAAATAAAAGGAACAATAGTAGGAACAACCAAATGTACCTGATGAGAAGGAAAATGTCAACCAGGCTTCACACAGAGAGAAAACATTCACATTTCCAACAGGTGCTTCAGATAAGGTTGTGTGCTCAGGTGGAGAGTCACAATCCTTTCTCCACCTTAGCCGTCATTCCCACCACTAAATGAACCGCCTGATCTGAGTGATGTTCAACCGTACAGGTACGGCAACATCACTTAAACAAACCAAACGCAGAACTACACCACAGATTGTAAATATTAATGGACTAAGCCTGAGTGACGTCATCTGTCTGTTCCTGTGGGGGGCTTTGAAGTCCCATCGATGGCGGTCTCCATGCTGGAAATGCTGTCTCAGTCTAAATTTCAGTAAATCTAACAACAGTAATAACACTGAAGTAAAATACTGATACTTAAAAATTGTACATTTACTTGTCCACTCCTGAACACAATGAGACCATAGGTTTTTTTGTGTCCTGTGGGGAAGAAACTCATTTGATGTGATCCAACCTTCACAACAGGGTCCTAAGTCTCTGACTAGACTCTTCTCTGTCGCCCCCCTGGTGGTGGAATGAACTTCCAAACTCCATTCGATCTGCAGAGTCCCTCTGCACCTTTAAGAAAAAGCTAAAGACCCAGCTCTTTCATGAATACCTACTAACTTAATGACGATGGTCTCCATATTATTGATGATGATGATGGTGATGGTGATGACGATGGTTTTTGTTTGATAACAACGACTTATAAGATGGTTTCTATACTGATTAGAGCTCTCAAGAACTGCCCTCAATGTTGTGCTTTGCCTCTGGTCACTTCCTGTCAGCACCTGTGTGTCCAATCAGACTCAAAGCTGATTGTTTGCTCTTACTGACATTGTTCCCTTTTTTCTAGATCCTTGCTTGTGTTGTTCTTACTCTCTGATGTACGTCACTTTGGATAAAAGCGTCTGCTAAGTGAATTGTAGAATTGTAGAATGTGTTACAGAAATTTAAATATGGTTGACTAATGTTTGGTCAAGTTGATGGGAAACTTCCTGACCTGTACATAAGAAACGTTGAAGCGGTATAAAGGAAGGACTGAGTGCTCTGTAGATTCTATGTGTCCCTCTCTGCTGGGTCTTAAAAATGTGACATGTTTGTGTACTGTACTCTACTGTGATCAGCAGATGATTAACTGATGAAGTGATTCAGCCTTCATTTCCCCGGAGAGGGCTCATCAGACGACCTACTTCTCTGTTTTTTTTTTTTACTCAGACTGTGTCTGGTTAAATCTGTCTCCAACACTGTCTTTCATTCACTGTCGCTTTATGCTCTCACAGTAAAAGTTGGCATGATTATTTATCAGAGATGGTGAACAGGAAAAACAGATCTGTATTGAAAATGTTGCACTTTGGTCCTCAGCTCTTCAGAGAGTCACAACAAAGTCATGCTGGTTAAAAAGATAGATGTCGTCAAAGTGATTTCTGAAGAGCTGTTTTGAAGCCCAGCGATCCATCCATCCATTCATCCATTAATCCAACATCCATCCATCCATCAATCCAACCATCCATCCATCCATCCATCCAACATCCATCCATCAATCCAACCATCAATACAACCATCCAACGATCCATTCATCCATTAATCCAACATCCATCCATCCATCAATCTAACCATCCATCCAACCATCCATATATCCATCCATCCATCTATCATCCATCCATCCATCCATCAATCCAACCATCCATCCGTCCATCCATCCATCCATCCATCCATCCATCTATCCATCCATCCATCCATCCAACCATCCATCCATCCATCCATCCATCTATCCATCCATCCATCCATCTATCCATCCATCCATCCAACCATCCATCCATCCATCCATCCATCCATCTATCCATCCATCCATCCATCCAACCATCCATCCATCCATCCATCTATCCATCCATCCATCCATCCATCCATCTATCCACTTTCTAGACTACTTATCCCACTTGGGGTCACGGCCACTGGAGCCGATCCCAGCTGTCATTGGGCAAGAGACGTGGAACAACCTGGACTGTTCACCAGCCAATCACAGGGCTGACATACCAAGACAGACATCCAACCACATTCCAAATCACTGGCAATTTAGAGTCACCAATTAACATACCGAGCATGTCTCTGGACTGTGGGAAGAACCTCGGGTACCCAGAGGGACCCCACATACACAGGGGAAAAATATGCTAACTCCACCCAGAGAGAGACTCCAGTCCAACAAGTGGACACTCGAGGAACTGCAGTTTTTTTACACTTCTGACTGGCTTCATTTTTCATCCCCGCAGGTTGCCGCTTGGTTAGTTCATTTTTAATTAATTCTTGTTTTCTTTGAGTGTTGCTGCGCTCGCTCAGCACGTTGAATGACATCATGTGTTCTGTCCTCATGGCAGTAAATTCTTTCATTAAGTTATTAAAAGAGGGAGAAACACTCTCCGATGCAGGCTCGTTAGCATGATTGTGAATTGGAGAATAACTTCACACAGTTTATTTAACAGACTCCTGTCTCTTGACTCGCTATTAACCATAACTCAGCCGTGGAGCGGTTTACCTGCCAACAGAGAGGGTTAAACAAACACAAATGCTGATACGGCTTAGAAACATCGTCCGCTTCATCTCATTTGGACTCTCGTGATCTCTGTTCCCGTCGAGTTAAAGCTTGACAAGATTAGTTTTATCAGTCAGCGTTGAAGTCCACAAAAGTTGGACTTGAAGTGAAACATTTTTATCCTGGAGCAAATCTCAGAAAATCCAGACAAATTAATGATTTTTGCTCCAGAATCTTGCAGAAGACAAGAAGTCTTGTGTGACCTTTTTTATAGTAATGATGATGCAGGTTTTAAAATCTTCTCTCTCGTCCTGTTAAATATAAGTATATGGTTCTCATGAGAACATTATTGTTTCTTATTTTATTGTTTGGCTCTGTGTGTGGTGCTGGGCTTTCCTGAGTTTCTCTCTGCCCTTCAAAGCACCATCAGTCTGCTCTGCCAGCGATTCGCCATCCTGCCCTTCTCATTATCTCTCTGTTACCTCAGGCGCCAAACCACCGCTGTCCTGAGCCGTGCAACCTCTTTATGCCAGCCTCCCACACACACACGCACACACGCACGCACAAGCTGCTACTCTTAAAAACAACACCACAGATACTACAATATAACCTGAAAAACCTAAAAATACCTAAATGTCAACCTCCTCAGCTTGATATTGAAGATTCAAATTACAACATTGTTTTGTCAACATTTCTTCTCTAATGCAGCCTTGATATATATTTCACTTATTTATTAAATGTACAATGTTTTGACCAGGATTTGGGCAGAAGAATATTTTTGTTGTTTTGCAGATATCTGTAAAAATGGACTGACAAATTCAGTCCAAAATCCCCCCCCCTCTCTAGAGTGGATGCTCACTCAGGTCACCATGTGGTGGACTCTGAAGCTTCAGTGTTTATCCAGCTCTGCATGGGTCTGTAAACCTTTCTGTGTTCCAACCTCTCTCCATTTTTCAAAAGCATCTCCAATATTGATCCTAGTTTGAGCACGTTTCTGCTCGTGGAGCTTATTAGAAACATGTAGAGGCTTTTTAGGTCGGGTACAATCACTTCTATCTGAACCACTTCTCTTGACCGCTTCCATCGCTGCAACACCTGTTGACCTGATAACTGCTCTCATATCTGGCAAACTGAGGGGCGTCCAAAATGGCCGTGTGGGGGGGTTGCCTTAAAACCGCCTACCTTCTCTGGTCCAAACAAATCCAGTAGATATGTAGATATCTTACATATTGGCCCTTTAACTTTCAGTAAGACTTAAGCACTTGCTGATTTCGCTGTTTTAGATGCATGTTTTTTCTCGCTCTGCCGGCAGGTTTACTTCAGAAGATTTTAACACTGGACACGAGCTTAAATGACTCACATAGAGCGTCACATTTGAAGCGGCCCCCTGCATTTGCGGGTAATTCACTATTTCCAAAAAGAGATCTGAAGCAGAAACCATCCGGCACTCTGACCCCTCGGGCTGCAGGACGGACAGCCATCGGTCGGTGTGACCCGAGCACTTCACAGCTCCACACTCTGCTTGATTGCTTTTCTATCCGCAGCCCTGTGACGGAGCGACAGATTCACAGAGCTGGAGGCTGCAACCTGCAAACCACGCTGATCCAGGACATTTTTATAAACCGTGACATGAATAATTGTGGGAACATTTTGGTTTCTGCTCTGCATGGTGAGACTTTTTAAGCCAACAGGAAGGGCTGCAGCCAAACCCGCCCCCTTCATATATTTAAAAAGAAACACCAGTCTGGATGATGATATGATTTTCTCGTTTTTACATGTTCTACTTGTGTCCAGCAATTTCCAAATGTCTTAGTTCAGTTATATATTCTGCAAACATTATTACACAACCTATACCTTTCTCTTTTTCATCTGCAACATGTAACTTTTCCATTACATTTCTTTGCTCTTTGAATAAGGTTAGGTTTACTTCCGCTTAGTGTAGCCTCACACATAATACCAACAAAATTTATAGCAATATTAATGATTTAAAAAAATATCGGAATCAGTATCCGTATCGGTACATATGTATCGGAATCAGATCGTAACTGGAAAAAAGTGGATCGGGTCATCTCGACTTCAAACACAGACACGGCACACTCAGTTGTTTTAAAGCTTCAAGTAAAACAGAAACAGCAGAATTAAAACTTAATTTCCCGAACATTAGGTGACACAAAACAAACCCCACATTCATCCAAAATTATGGACTTCTTTAAAGACCTAAAAAAATGTCTAAATCATTCATTATCATAAACATGTGACGTGATCTTACCTGCGGTGTCTGGCGTACTTCCCGCTGACGTGACCGCTGCCATCACAGCCTGGAGTGGGACAGCTGAGGAGCAAACACACACAGCGTGATTAAACATGAACATCAGCAGCTTCAGCAGTTTCTGGTGAGTCTTGGTTTAGCCCGAGGTCTGTCACTTGGTTCTGTAGAGTACCAATACACTAACTGTGCTTCATCGTTTACAGGCCAATCAGCAGCTTGCAAAGCGACTGTGTGTTCTCATCAAAAGCAAAGATGTTCAACATAAACGCTGTCATTTCTAATTTAATGATATCCCGCAGAAGAGCACTTGTTCATCTGTTTCTTGTAAGTCTCAGTCTAACAGTAAATAGTAAGTTACACAGAGGCTTCACTCTGGCTAACTTCAGCGGTATAAACCAGAAAAAAGAAAGCTATTCTGTTGTGATATTAAAGGCAGAATGTGCAATATTTTACACATAAATATATCAGAGATCCAGTCCATCTTGTGTAAATGTGTCTCTGAGTCATGACTGTCTACAATGAGGGAGAAGCTCGAGTCCCGCTGGCTGTGTTGTTGTCAGAGCTGTGTTTACATGGACGGGACGGCCGGCTCCTCCCCTTGTGTATAAAAGCTGTTTTAGTCAAGAACTAGAGAGAAGAAGAAGAACATACTCACTGATTATTTGGATGTTAGTAAGAGTTTTCAGATCACGCTCATTCTGTGTTAATTTACATCCAATATGAAGCTACAAGCTAACTAAAGAGCGCTAACATTAGCATGCTAACACAACAATGCAGGACACAGGAGATAGCAGCTTGAACAAAGGATGATTTTGTCCGCTGCTTGAGCTTAATGGTGCTTAATTATGCTGCATTCTGTTTGATAACTTGATTTGGGCTTCAGTATGGAGGAGGCGTGGCCAAACAGCAGTTTGTTTTGGTTTAATGCTGGTGCTCAAGGGCGACATCTACTGGATCAAAAAGTCACACATTCCTCCTTTAACAGGTTTTAAATTTGCAGTAATGACATCATCATGATGCAGAATTGTAAGGTCAAGCTTTGTCAGGTCTGTCGTCATGGGGAAAAAAAAACTTTTTATTTTTTATTTTTTTAAAGATTCATTTTAGGCTTTTTGTGCCTTTAATGCAGAGAGAGGACAGTGGATAGAGTCGGAAACCAGGGAGCGACATGCAGAAAGGGGCCACGGGTGGAAGTGAACCTGGGCCTATCGCTTGAGATGAGAGTCTCAATACATGGGAGGCGCGCCCTAACCATTGCGCCACCAGCGCGCCCCAAGAAAACAACTTTTTAAATGTTTGTTTGTTGAATAGCGGTCGGATCGATAATTTCTGATGCATTCCAGTCGGGAAATCTAAATGCCTGATTGACCTTTCGACACAGTGTGAGGTAGATTCGTTGTTCCAGGCGAAAGTTTTGATCGGGTTTGCTGTACTTGCATGCAGATATCTGCTCATAGAGATAAATAAATCATCCTCAGATTACAGCAGATGGCCGAGCGATTGCTCCCCATTCAAACAGTTTTTCCTGCATACTTTAAAGCCTGCTGATTCGTGATTGGACAATAATTAAGTACTACAAGCGTACTAAAATCGGAAAACAAGAAAACCTCCAATCCCGACCCCTGAGTACAGATTCTACATCTTTACATAGAATCTGTAAATAGAGATTATCTACACACAAAACTGCACCTTGGCATATGCGTTGAATGCAGTATAAAAAAAGTGTGAAGTCGTGTTATGTGTAGGTAGCTTGAAGGAGTTTCAAGTGCTGAGTTTCAGCTCCTGGAAAAGATTCTTCAGTCATTGATCTATAATTCAAACTGGCCTTACTGGATTGTATGTCGGCGTCTCACACACAACAGAATCAAACTCCACCACGGCACCCGACACCCTGAACATCCAAACATGGAATAATAAATCTAACATTTAAGGTTCAGATTATCAGAGAAGAAGAGCTGTAGGAGGTTTTCAAAAATGTGCAGATGCTGATGAAAATTAAAAAGTTGAACATTATTTTCTCGTGGCTTTAATGTTTCAGCACGCCAACACATCTCATTGAGCGTGTCTCTCCCTCAGCAGCAGGTTTAAGTGTTTCTGTCTGCTTGGTTTTTTTTCTCGCATCGTGGTTGCAGTCGGCAGCAGATTTCTCAGGAGCTCTGAGTCACTCCTCTGCAGCTCACAGGCTTCTCTGCCCCGAAGACACGCAGACCGACCGCCAGCCAACGCACGCCGCCAGGCTTCAGGGACTCTCCACACCCGCGGCATCTGACCCCCAGAGCTGCAGAGGCTCCACCCACCCTCCACCCAACATCACCTGATCTGTACACTCTGCAACTGCGGGCTAAAATGAGAGCAGCACGAAGATGAAGGTGAAGGTTTAACATCACAAGCTCGGGGAAGGCAGAGGAGGAGGAGAGCGAAGTCGAGGAAGCCGTGATGGAGGAAGGAGGGGAAGAAGGAGAGGAAGGGAAAGGGGGTAAGGAAGAGAGGCAGAGGAGGAGGGTTAAAAAGAAACAGAAGGAAAAAGAGGACATTGATTGGAGGGGGGCAAAGAAAAAGAAAGGAAAATGAGGAAGAAGAGCGATATCATAGAAATAGAGGAGGATAGGAGAATGAGAAAAAAAACATATAAAGAAGGAGAAAAAGGAGGAGAAAAAGAGGAGAGACGGAGGAAGAGGAGGCAGTTCGTTCAAGGTGAGGCGGCTCATCAATCTGTGTGAGAGCAAAGACTGATAGTGTTGACTTATTGATCCCACCCCAGCTCTGCGTATGTGTGTGTGTTTTAGTGTGTGTGCTCCTCAAATTCTCCAATACAATGTCAAACACGCTTTCCAATCATGACAAAATACCCAGAATGCCTCAGCGCAACCTTAACCTTAACAAGCTGTTGGCACCGAGTCTTAAAAAATCCTCCCTCTTTCTTAAGACTATAAAATACTTTTTCCCTCCGCGGAGAGAAACTTTCACTTGTTTCCAAAGCAACTGGATATTTCTTTCTGGAAGTTTGACGACCCCGCTTTGATTTCCTCGGTCTGTCAGACTAATTACAGACAAGAAACAGAACTATAGAAACTCATGTACAAAGATTTTTTTCATTTTGCCCTTTTCAACTGATCTGGGTGTCCGCAGTTGCTAACTTAAAGGTAAACTCCTGCACACTGTCTAACTTGAACACAAACAGTTACTGCCAATGTTTCAGCCCTAAACCTTCATCAGGCAAAAAGGCATATTATATAGATAAGATCTTGTTTTTGGTTTTTGCCTTTATTAGAAAGGACAGCTGAAGAAAGACGTGATGTTGGGAGGAGAGAGTGGGGGACAGCATGCAGAAAAGGGTCGAGGTCAGATACGAACGACGAGGACTGCAACGAGGACTAGAGCCTCTTTACATATGTGCTGCTAAAACCCTATATGAAACCAAAGTTCAAGTTAAAGGTCACTAATTCCCTTCACCATGTTTCTCTATATGTGTCTCTAGTCTGTCTACAAACCCCCCAATGATGAGAAAAGTTCGTCCTCTCTGTCTTTTCCCTGCTCCACTTTTCAGAAAATGTGTGCTCAAACAGGCCGTTTGGAGACTTTCCCTTCATGACATCACAAAGGGCAGTAGCCCCTCCCCCAGGTGGGTGGCACTCCCACAACTAGGTGTTTGTTCTGCCCTCTTAGTCTGCCTTCTCTCCGTGAACAATAGGACATGGAGCGAGAAGGCCCGAGTACACCCAAGCCCTTCCAGAGAGGGGGCGTGGTCAGACACCGCTCATTTACATATTTAAAGGTACAGACACAGAAACAGCCTGTTCTGAGCAGGGTTGAAATAGAGGGGTTTATAGACATGATCAAGTACAGGATCAGAGTGGATTTAGAACAAGAAACTTCACACACATGTTTTGGGAAAATCCAAGACTGATTTACATTTGTTGAAAATGAGGAAAATATGTGACCTTTAAGTTTTATATTTCATCCCAAATCATATTTTTTTCTCAACCAAACCAAGAAGTTTTGGTACCTTAAACCTGACAGCATGGTTTACATAATGAAGCAACTGCTGTTTGGTTATGTTTGAGAAAAGATCAGCTTCTCTGCTAAAACAGTAAGTCAATTCAGACTCAAACACAGGACACCAGTACTGATGGTGTTCTTTAAAGGATTATAGTCCTGCAGAGTCAAACAGAGCTGCCTGAGAAGCAACTGTCTTTCATTATAAGAGAAAAACTGAACGTACAAGTCGGTAATTGACCAATCAGAAACAAAATATTCTTTAAAACTGTGTCATACTAATCGTTAACAGCTATTTATTGGTCTGAAAATTAGTGTTGTCGTCAAGACCACAGTAACGGAGACAAAGACATACCCGAGACCAGAGTGCTCCAAGAACAATATAAGACCAAGACATTTAGGGATTGAGACTGACTCAAGACCAAAGCAGGGCGAGACTGAGACAAGACCAAGAAAAATCAACATCTTGTCTGCAGCGGGCGAGTTACTCACTTGGAGTTTAATACTGGAAAGAATTATGAATGATGTTATGTTCTTTTAGAAAGAGGCGTTTTCCTTCTAATCACAGTAATGATGTGGAAAAAATAACCTCTCCATAGTCTGCCCAGTCTGAGACCGAGACAAGACCGAGTAAAAATGCTTTCCATTCCGAGATGAGACACAGACCTTCAAAAAGTCTCGAGGCCGGTCCAATTTCAAGTACTACACTTCTGAAAATATTCCAGCTTGAAGTAAATTTCTTACATTCCAATCAGAATTTCGACGACTGTTGGTGCTAGAGGAAAGGTCAGCAAGCTACCCGAAACTTAACGTTTAATCTTTGGGAGATCATAAATATCTAAAGCTTGTTTCTTGAAGAAAAAGCAAGTTGGTGAGAGAAAAAAAGTTAGAAACTCAGAAATGTGACTGCAGCTCTGACTCCCACTGAGCTGACAGATGTTATGTATTTATTTAGTAATTAGCATTAAGTCATGGAAGACTTTTAATATCACAGCCACATGTCTTTCCCCACCCCATCCTCCAAAATCTGCCACAGCACAATGACAAATTAATTTGTATATGTTTATCCCGGCAGATTAGTCAGATTAGTCAGGGACTGTGACAGAGAAAATTCAATTAAAGAAAAATATTCAACGATTTCTTACAGTATTTCACAGTTTTTCCTGCATGAGTCATCTCATGCCATAACTTCAAAGTCTCTCGTGTTCACGTCTGGCCTTCACCGGCTCCCCTCAGATTTAAATTCTGGGGGAATCACGCTGAGTTTTCTGCTCCTCTGCTCAGGGCTCGCACGGCGCAGACAGGACATGTTGTTTACAGTAAGGCGATGACCTGGATCAAACCGAGTTCAACTATAATCTGCTGCACACACCAATATTTGTCAGTTTTACTAAATGGGATTAAGTGAAGCAGAAACTAACTCCCCACGCACACACACAGGTAAAAGTCATATTCAGCATTTACTGCTGGCAGCTGCTGCGTGTTTCTGCAGTTGTGCTGCAAAATGAAATGAATTATTGGTGGAATTAGATTGAAAATGTTGTGTAATAAAACAGCAGGGTAACATATTAACGTGCTACACTGCAGATCTATTACTGTATGTCATAAAATTATGATTTTCTAAAGATTAATTCGACTTTTGCACAGAGCGCCATGGTTTAACCTTGTTTCCCGTCATCAGGACTGTCACTCCAGCTGTTTCAGGCTCTATGGCAAACTACTTGGAGGTGAAATAAAGTTATTAACAGAACTCTATTATCTGTAAGACGCCGACATGAACTTGTGGTGCCTCGGCTTCTGAATCATGAATCGCATTGACACTTTGAATGTACTCAGCTGACAGTGTTTTCTTTTGCGCCAGTGCTGCATTCAGAGTGTGTGGGTTCGTCCTCTACCCATTATTAAAACCCCGCTGTGCTGCGGCCCCTGGTGTAACGTCATCATTTAACGTTATGTCAAGGACGCCATTTCATGTTCTTGAGAAGTTCTTACACTTATTCCTGGGTGACTCGATCAAACAACACATGCACAGCGAATGATAAACTACCCTTCACTCCCCATGCAAGTGTGAAGATGTGGTGCATGGATCCATAACCAGGACAGAAGCCAAAGTGCTTTGAGAATCTGAGGTTCGATAATGAGCTGACAAGAACAAATGTCCAGTAACAAAACACTACTTTGGTTTAGATCAGCTGTTTCGGTTCTCCCAGTCAGCCCCTTCTTAAAAGTTTTTCCCTCCTGACATGTTACTGGAAACTCAATTTTAATGCTATTTTTTTCTCTTAAAGGAAGAATGTGCAACTTTTTGATCCAGTAGATGTCGCCCTTGAGCACTAGCATGAAACCAAAACAAACTGCTGTTTGGCCACGCCTCCGCTATGCTGAAGCCTCCGCTCTCCTCTAGCGACACACCTCCAACCCCTCTCCCCTCGTGTTCACACAAAGGAGTTGGAATGCACCATAATTAAGCAACCTTAAGCACAAGCGGCGGACAAAATTGTTCTTAACTCGAGCTGCAATCACCTGTGTCCTGCATTGTTGTGTTAGCATGCTAATGTTAGCGCTCTTTAGTTAGCTTATAGCTTCACATTGCACGTAGATTGACACAGAATGACCGTAATCCTTAAAACACCAAATAATCAGTGAGTATGTTCTTTTTCTTCTCTCTAGTTCTTGACTAAAACAGATTTTATACACAAGGGGAGGAGCCGGCCGTCCCGTCCATGTAAACACGGCTCTGACAACAACACAGCCAGCGGGACTCGAGCTTCTCCCTCATTGTAGACAGTCAGGACTCAGAGACACATTTACACAGGAGAGACTGGATTTATGATATATTTATGGGTAAAATGTTGCACATTCTGCCTTTAATGAATCCAAGGTGCTGCTATACCACAGTACTGAAACGCATTAGTAACAGTGCATGACATGATGAAGGTATGTTGAAGTAAGCAGAGGTTTACCTACCTGAATAATTCCTGTGTTACTGCTTCCACAGCGGCTGAAGAGAGACACAGAAGAAAAAGAGTCAAGGTATAACTTCCTACCAAAAGAGACCTATGGCAACAAAAGACTCTGTTTAGGGTTAAGTATATGTGTAACACTGGGGACACAATTGAGTGTCTATTTTATACACATACCAGGGATGAAGTTGTCCAAAAAAAAAACTAAAGAATAATCCAAAAACAATGTTCTCCAAAAGAGGATAATTATAATAAAGTAAGATGTGGAATAGATGAATGGAGAAGATTACTTATACTCAGGGCTGTCAGCGTGAACGCATAAATATTGATAGGTTGAGGTCTGAAATTAAGGCATTCTTCTTTTTTTTTTAACGCATTGATCTGCAGCCATACAGAAAGCAAACAGGAAGGGCTCATACCTCTGACTCCTTTGGATCTTGTGCGATGGCGTTTTTTAACCGCATTCACCTCCATCTGAAAAAGGAAACGCAGGTCACGCTCTGACAGTAAAAAAAAACTTAAAAACACAATTAGGAATCCCTTGAAAATACGTCATCAACCTAATAACCTGCCACTAGCATCATAGCAACTAATTATTGTTACATTCAAACTGTACTGCACATGGGTATCACTTCTCTACTTTTACTTAATTTAGTAAATTAAAAAAGCAATCAGTAAAATATGTAGTGACTTAAATAATAAAGTGATCTTACTCTATGATCAGACATTAAGGAAACATGCTATGTTGAAGTGCTGGCTTCTCTGACAACAATGCAGCAGCCAGTATGTCCTCCTTCTAACTTTAGATTCTGCTCCTGAATGCTCTGGATTTGTTTGGACCAGAGAAGGTAGGCGCTTTTAAGGCACCTTCCACACGGCCGTTTTGGACGCCCCTCGGTTTGCCAGATATGAAAGCAGTTATCAGGTCAACAGGTGTTGCAGCGATGGAAGCGGGCAAGAGAAGTGGTTCAGATAGAAGTGATTGTACCCGACCTAAAAAGCCTCTGCATGTTTCTAATAAGCTCCACGAGCAGAAACATGCTCAAACTAGGATCAATATTGGAGATGCTTTTGAAAAATGGAGAGAGGTTAGAACACAGAAAGGTTTACAGACCCATGCAGAGCTGGATAAACACTGAAGCTTCAGTGTCCACCACATGGTGACCTGTGTGAGCATCGAATTTAAACACTAGGTGTCAAAGTTACATACTGCTCCTTTAAATGTATTTATTCACTCTCGCTTAGTGATTCAACAAATGGTGTGTTTATTTATTCTTAGCTCGTTGTGAGCGTGATCCTACCTGGTCAGAGGTCGGCGTAGCACTGGTCATGTAGCTGAAGAGTCTTTATACCAAACAGAATTTCAGAGGCCGTCTTCAAGAGTCATGATCTGCAAAAACAAAACACATTGATTTCTTAGTTTTTCTGAAAGTGCTTTTGTACGAGTCAAAGAAAGGAAAGCTGACTCCTGACCCTGGCCTGCAAACGAATATCGTTCATTCATGAATCAAACTATTTGAACACCCGAAGGACTCGTTCAGAAAACCGTCTACACACTTTCAAGGTATTCACTAAAGGTCATTCCTTCAGTCAATCAGCTGTTTCTATGGAAAAGTTTAAAGACTTATTAATGAGAACGTTTCAGTAACCTTCAGCAAATTACCCACAACAAGTTCAAAAACACATCTGCATGAAAAAAAAGTCTCTCATATTATTTTTTCAGATTCTTGGGTGGATGACTTGGCTTAAAGACGATTCACATTCTTCCTACACCAGATGTGGTTTTGTACCCCAGCAGAACGGCCTTAATTTTGTCAGGTGTTATCATGAATTTGAATCATGTTAGGAAAACAACAAGAGCTAAAAAAAAACAGGATCTGTAAACACCGACCTGAAGCAAAGTTTTAGAAGATATACGACTTCAAACTTTTATGTTCTCTGCAGCCTCGGAGCTTAATCATAAACACTCATTATTTTCCACCTTGCACTTAATGCTACTGTTATATTTATTTAATGTTTTAATTATTTTAACTTTTGTTTTGTGCACTTTTTTAATTAGCATTTAAATGTTTAATGCTATATTTCTGCTGCAATGTTTTTTAATTCATTATGTAAAGCACTTTGGTTTTTCCACTCTGAATGAAATGCCAAAGCCTGAAAAATAGAAAAAAAGAAAATCTAATCCGGTGGGCAGAAGCTAAAAAATGCACTTTGTAGAAACCTGATAAAACATTCAGCAGATCGAATCAGCAAAGTTTCAGATTCTGGGTCATTTCTCGGTGAATGTGACGACTCTGACAAGGTGTTTTGATCACAACCACCAGGATAAAACGACAGCTTGGATTACGATTGTCTTCGCTAAGACTCAAGGTTATTGTTTGATCTCAAGACCTACTGAACCTACCATCGACTGATAATAAACAAGGACGCAGCCTGACTCCTAATCCCCACAGACTCTGCACGTCGAGGTCCGTCAGCACCACAGTTTTACTCCGTCAGATGGCCCATGCCCTGCACCAAAGGATCACTTTCTAGAGCATGAGCAGGAGAACTCACATCACAGGTGAACCACAAGATCACGCTGGAATATTGATTGATTTGTTGTTTGCTTGGTACTTGTTTGTCGTTATGTTGATAAAGTGATGAAAAATAAGATTGGGAGTTTGTATATTGTGTCTTTTTTTTTAATTAACCGGACGCTCTGTGTGTTTCCTTGTCTGACTTCCTGTCCGGGTTCATCTTTTTACACAAATGGTCAATGGTACATACATTCAACAGACCATCATTTAGAGATTATTGTTCAAAAATGATTTCCATTATAACCCCATCATTGTCAATCACTGGCAGTAGAATAACTTGCCTGTGTTCTTTTTTTCCGGCTTTTTGGGACTTTAATGAAGAGATAGGACAGTGGATAGAGTCAGAAATCAGGAAGCGAGAGAGTGGGGAATGACATGCTGGAAAGGAGCCACAGGTGGGATTCAAACGTGCCCTGACTGTGTTCTTATTAGCTGCAGATTGGTAATTCTCATAGTACAAACTAAACAATTCTCTACTCCCACATTCTGATTAATGCTGAAGTATTCTGTGACAAGTTTCCATTCCTAAGAGGCACAGAAATAAGGAGAGACAGAGCAGGTCTATGTCCCCCCTGCAGCTTGTTGAAGTCATAGTTTACTCTGAGACACTCGGTCTCACACTATGCCCTGGTGACAGACTGAGACATGCTGGAGGTTGTAGGGACAGGTCTGGGAGGAAGAAGTACCAGATCAAATGAGGTCTGTAGATGTAGCACGACCAGCTACAAGATTCACTTCTAAGTCTGTGTCCAAAATCATTCCATGTGTTCACTGACCCCTAACAGGCACTCAGAATGACATCCTTTGTACCATGCAGCGTTCAGCTGTTTAATAAGTTCTGATCATACAATATGAATTTAGCACTCTGCCTTAAAGAGGACATACTATTCCCCTCCTCCACCTTTTCAAACAGTCCCCCTGTGGTCTAAATGAAACATCTGTGCTGTGCTTTGGTCAAAATATAACATGAATCAAGCACCAGAGGAGGTTTGTGACCCTGTATAAACCAGCTCTCTCTGAATGCTCCGTTTTGGTGTGTGTGTCTCTTTAAATGCAATGAGCCCCCCCCCCCGAGTTTTCCCGTTAGACATCACTCAAATAAAAATGACGGACATGCACAAAAGTTTTGCTCTAGTCTGGGGGTGGAGTCCATGGGTGGACATACCAGGGGAGGGGAGGGGATTTTTTAAAACCAAAATCCCACTGTGACATCACAAGGAGAGCACATTTGGTAACGTGTAAAACAAAGCAAAAGGCGGAGAAACTTGTGGGAATCTGTCTCTTTCAAAATGTGCCCAAAGAACCCTTGTC